GTGCAGCATTCCTTCCTCCAGGGTATGGGGCAGAACCTCTTCTGAAACGGGAGTCTTATCATCACAGAACTTCTTTATGACCAGGTCCATGAGAGAAAGGCAGAAGGTTAGAGTATACTTTTGGTTTCCATGACCTCCCCTGGAGAAGAGAAATAATAGCTTATGGCCAAACTTGGCAGAAATAGGAACAGGTGGGAGGAAGACAGGAGGTCAGCAAGAGAGATTTTAATTTCTGAAGACTTCTTCTGAGGCCCAATGTGCCTCAACATTATAACAAAAGACTGCCTTTCACTTCTGATGCTCTGAAAATGTTTTGAAAAGGGTTCACTTAATAAATCTGAGTTTACAGAGTGGTAGCAAGTGTCATGTAAGCAGTTAATAGTTGACAATGGAGAGATAAAAGGGTGAATAAAGAGTGAGTCCAGTGATACATAGGGAGCCCAGGGACACCCAGGCAGATCCTTGTATACCCCAGGTCATCCATGATTCTGACCTCCTCAGATAAACCCGTATATGTGAGGTCTGGTCCTCTGATAGGCGCAGACAAACTGCTATCCCCTCCAGTATTTAATGAAATTGTTTTATTTTGCTATAGCAAAATGCATGAAATTGGGTAATTCATACCAAAACAAATAAACAACAACAACAAAACAAGTTTTTTTGGCTCATAGTTCTGGAAGTCTACAGGCATCTGGTGAAGGCAACTTGCTGCTTCAAACATGGTGCAAAAGCAGAAGTAAGTGGGCATCTGTGAATAAGCTCACATGGTAAGAGAGGAAGCAAGAAAGGGAGCTGAGGAAGCCAAACTTGCTTTATAATAAACAACTTTTGTGGTAACTAATCCACAGTCCCACGAGAGTAAGAACTTATCCTGGAACAAAGACATTTACACTAGTCATTGCTGTGACAAAATCCCTGAGAAAAGCAACCTAAAGGAGCAAGGATATATTTTAGCTCATGGTTTCAGAGGATTAAGTCCTTGTTCTGCTGGCTCCATGGTTTCTGGACCTATGGTGAGGCAGATCATCATGGTAGAAGGGCATGACAGTGAAAACCTGCTCACCTTCTAGTGGTGAGTGGGGGCAGGTGGAGAGAAGGAAGATGGGAGAAGTGGAGGGGCACAAGATATAGGTCCCAAGAGCATATCTCCAAAGGCCCACTTTTCAACTTGGTCTCACCTCCTACATTCTCATTACCTCCCAATAGTTCATTCAGCCACAAATCCATCAATAGAATAATCCATTGGTGAGGACAGAACTCTCATAATCAAATCATTTCCCCCAAAACCCCACCTCTGAACATTCCTGCACTGGGGACCAACCCTTCAATTCATGTCTTTGAGAGATATTCCAGATTCAAACTAAAACAGCATTAATCCCTCTTAATGACCTAATCACCTTTTAAATGCCTCACAGTCTCTGAACACTGTTATAGTGGGGACCAAATTTTCAACATGAATTTTGAGGGCACCAGCAACACCCACAGCAGAAGCTAACCACTACGGATGGCAGGGCTCTGAGTCACAACCTAAGAACTATTTAATGTGAAAACGGACTGGAAAGTGGCACTTGGGTTTCTTTTGTTTTGTTTTGTTTGGTACTGGGGATTGAACCTAGAGGTGCTTTAACCAATGAACTTTATTTCCAGCCCCTTTTGTTTTTTCCTTTGAGACAGGGTCTCACTTAGTTGCTTAGCTAGGTTGTTGAGGTTGGCCTTGAACTTGAGATCTGGTCTCTGGGATAATAGGCATGTACCATGGCATCCACTGGCCCTCAGGTCTTTTTAAAACTACTTCTGCATCTGAGAAGAGGAAGCCCAATTGGTACTGTTTATAATGGTTCATAAAAGTTCAATTTAGTGGGTCCGTTGGACTTATTTTCTCCCCTAGGCAGAGCACTTGCATTCCCAGGTGTACCTGGATTTAAGCAACAGTTGTATTCTGAAAATTAACTGAATAACCAATTATTTTATAATTACTTATTCAGCACCTGGTAATAGTGATAATACTAACTAAAATTTAAGAGATTATGTCAAGTATATTCACACACTATGCTAGCCACTTTTGAAGTATCATTTCTTTTCATTTGCTCCAATATTATGATGTTATTGCTATTTCAATGACGGAGATGAGGAAACTGGGTGCTAAGGAAATTCAATAACTTGCCATAGGATGCATCTTGTAAGTGTGGGATTCAAACTCAGATGTAGCTTCATTCTAGGATGGATTCCTTCTTCAGCCCTGCCACAGTATTAGAGGCAGATTGCACTGCTCAAGTGTAGTGATAGAGATAGATATAGGAAATTAAGGGGACATAAGTGAGGACTGCCAATCTTGTGTGGCTGTTTAGATAGTCAGGGAAGTATTCCTGAGAAAGGAGGGCTAAACTGTGTCTTGGAGGGGAAGGGAGTGCTAGAAAGGTAAGAGTGGACACCCAATTGTTCTGCCAGCTGGGCTCCACCCTTTTCTGGGAATATCCCACTATGGGATTCCTGTATTATAAGTCCGTGACTCTAGTTGAGTGGTCTAGGGGCCTAAGCCATTCATAGACTTTTCCTAGGATTCTTCAAATCAAAATGCAGAATAAACATCTAACTTTATCTAGTGGTAGATGCTGAATAATGATACCAGAGCCTGATGCAGTAGTACCTGCCAGTAATCCCAACTACTTAGGAGGTTGAGGATAGCAAGTTCAAGGCCAGCCCAGTGTGTGGTGAGAGTGTTATATCATTAACATAGATGTAACACATTTTCACAATGTCAGAATTTATGGAATGACAAATTCCCAGGTTACACTATTTTCATCAGCTTCAGTTCACTGAATATTTGTGGGTCACTTAGTAGTCATAAGCAGGGCAGTCACAGGTTCTTTTGTTCCAGTCTTAATTTTTAATATCTATAACACTAAAGACATATGCATGCACGCACGCACGCAGAAATGCTGTGAAAACGTTAAGGCAGCCACAGGGGGTCAAAAGGCTGAATTGAGAGCAAAGGCAGAGAGCAGATATGAATGTAGTGTCACTGCGGGTGATCAGATAATATTAAGAACCAACCAAAGAACTTGTTCTGTCTGCAGTGCTGTCAAACTGCAGGAACTTCTTCTAGGTCAAGGTCTAGATGGCAGTATCACAGTGTCAATTTTGACTGTGGTCATAAAGGGCAGGAGAAATTGCACTCTGCTAAAGCCTGAGGACAGAGATTTGGAAGTTTGCCACTGTGGCAGTTTTCCTGGGCAAGGCTGGTAAGGAGTGACCATGTGACAGGGTCAGGGCGCTACCATGTTCAGTCTTAGGGTGATACTCCTTTTATAGGTCTTGAGTTAGGGGTTTATATCATTTGGTGATCTGCTATGTTCAGTAAACTCATGGTACTGGTTTTTCTGATGAGTTTGATATACTGTACATCCACATGCTGCTGATTAATTTGGTAAGTTCACAGGTGGTCATTCTTATTAGCATGAGTATCAGATTATGCCTTTTGGTTGTGCCAGGCAGATGGTAGTTGTTTACTTATACAAACAAGGTGTAGAGACATTCTACCTCAGCACTTAAACTCAGAATGGAGTAGCTTATGGCAAACTATTGCTTTATATAGCAGAGTAATGAAGGTTCAGGCATAGCCTTAAAACTGTTGTACTATATATCGTGACGTAACTCAGAGCAGAGCACAGTTTGCTCTTTATATTGGGCAACTTAGAAAGACTGGGAATAGAACTTAGAGGTAGAATGCTCCTGGGTTCCATCTCCAGTATGGTGAGAGGGGGATTGGCTACTGGCAGCTGGGTTTTCTGACATGTGAAGGAGTAGTCTTGAGTGAGAAAGAGTGAGGCCAATATGCTGAGAGAACAGGCTACCTGACAGTACCCTGCCTTCTAGTTCAGTTGTCTAATCACTTTTTGAATAAGTGAGATCAATTTGTGTTCTTCTGATAAGGTCTTCCTTTGCCTCAATGGCTCCAGTTGGGTTCCCATAAAACCCCTAATATACTTACTAATTGAGATGGAATGGGTGACTCCAGGAGAGCAAATGACCTAAACAGAATATCATAAGCAAGCAGAGCAAGAGGTGAATGCAGGAAGATACAAGTAGTTTGGTATTTGCCAGAGTATAAACATCATGATAAGAAGTGGCAAGAGATAAAGCTAGATAAAGTAGGAAAAAAATTTGATCATAGGGTCTGGGCATATCCTGTATAGAAATTTAGACACAATTCTATATACATTCTGCTTATACTCCTTTAGTAACCACTAGGCAGAGGTTCACTAAATTGATATAATTAATAGAGAGATGTTTTAAACTTGGGATTCATTGGCAGGCTTCAGTTGTACTTCAACTGTTCGAAATAGTCTGTTAAATCTGTGGGATGTGCATAGGTTTATTTAATTATTATTATTTTACTTTGGCAAAGGTCTCTAACTTTCACCAGCTATTAAAGGAGCCCCTGAGCCAAAATATATTATGAACTGCTCTCTGAAGAGGCATTTTCAGGTCTAACTGGTTTCCAAATACCCATGCAAATCTCATCGCCCCCTCCCCCACACCCCGCTTCCTCACACCTCTTACAAAACTCTTTAACACAGAGAAAATACTCAGTAACTGTTCGGTTGTATACTGTCTTAAGTAGTGATTCTTTTTTGGGATCATCTTTGTGAAAAGTTGGCAAAACCCTGGTTATTTATAGAGATTTTGGAATATTGGATATGAGTTCCATCCTTTTCTTGGCTTGGGCAGCCAGACCAGACCTGCAGTTCTCTCAAGTCGCATCCAGGCACAATCTTGTCCCCGCAAGGTAGCCCCAAGCATCCTTCGACCTAGTGGTAGAACGACTACAAGTCCCGGAATGCGCCGCGCTCAGGTCCCGGGCGGCGGCGAGCGGATTTCGCACTGATGTCACCCTCCTGGGGCGGGCGGAGGGGGAGGGCGGGGCCGAGGGGCGGGCGGGGAGGCGGTGGAGCGCGCTGGTGCTGATGCAGGATGGCTGAGCGCGCTGGAGCCCGGGAGGTCTGAGCCGGGCGAGGCTCGCTCCCTGCGCATCGCCTTGTCCGCCCTCCGCGTGGTCGCGGGCAGGTGGGCCGGGGGCGCAGGGCAGCGGCAGGGCAGGCCTAGGGCAGGAGGTCTGCAGCCAGCGGGGCGAGAAGCTGATAGGTTGCCCACCTTCCCGGTCTCCGAGCGACCCGAGCTGCCCAGCTGGCCGAGTTCGCGATGACCTGCTGAGAAGCGTCGTGGGAGGCTGCAGGAGGCGGCCTAGCTGCGGGCGGTGCGGTTCGTGGCCTCCTCGCTTGTGGTGCCCAGCCCCGACCCCCCACCCATCCCCGCGCCCCCTCCCTGCGGCCGGCCGAGATGGCGGATCCAGCCGAATGCAGCATCAAAGTGATGTGCCGGTTCCGGCCCCTCAACGAGGCGGAGATCCTTCGTGGGGACAAATTCATCCCCAAATTCAAAGGCGACGAGACCGTGGTGATCGGGGTAAGTGGTCCGGGCGTCTGGCCTCCCCTTCTTCCCGACGCAGCCCGGCGCCCAGACGCCCTAACGGAGCGGAGAATTCGGGCCGCCCCTTCGGACATTCCTGCGGGGCTGGCCTCCTGGGTGGACACCACGGGAGACCCCTCTTGCCCCACCCAATGGTTCCTTCTCTGGCTGGTGGGGGGGATACTGGGGACAGCGAGGCGGGCCCTGGGTGGCGGGGGTGGGGGTGGGGGGCGAGGAAGGGCTCGGATCCGCCATTGTTCACGGGGTGGGGGCCCGGGTGGGCCTATTGTTCCCCACACTCGCCTCCGCGTGGGTAACGTGTTCGGATTGCCCTCTAGCCCGGCGCCCAGGCCCCCACTTAAAAGTATAAGCTCTGCAACCCACAAATGCTTCCAGGCATCAGTTCGATTTAGCGAACATTTTGTTTCTTTGCACGACCTTAGCATAAAAGAAAAGAAAGAAAGAAAGAAAAAGGAAAAATCCTAGCCTTGGCAGACTTGGAGCTTCCGCAGTCTTGTAGTCGTGGCTGCCCGGGATGTTTCACCTTGCTCTGCGAGTTGAAGGTGGAGGGTGGAGGGGCACACTGGTGGTCTTGATGTCCTCGGAAGGCCTGGTGTGCCTCCTTCTGTTTCCTGTCACTCCAGGCTGCCCTGTATGTGTGCCTTCCCTGCAGGGACTATCCCCCCCCCTCCCCCGCACACACACCTGGTGTCCACACACCCTCTGATGTGGGTTGCGCTGGGTGGAGAGGAGTCGGTGCGAAGAGGAAGTCCAGAGAGCAATCAAATAGCCCCTCTGTGCTAAAGAAGTTGTTACTGTGTGTTGCTGGAGCCCCTTCTGTCTTGATCACCTAGTCTCCCTTATTTCCCCTCCCCCAACTCCGCTCCCTCTTTGCAGCTCGGGCTGCTGGTGGTAGTGAGGAATACCAGTGATTTTTAGTTCTTAAAGGAATATGTCAAACGAAATAAACCTGCCTAGCCTCTTCTCCCGTTCCCGGTTCTCTGTCCCTAGAGTGAGTGGCTGACCGTGCCCCCTTTGTATGGAAGCCGCGTGGGGAGGGACCGAGTTAATGCGAGACACTCGGTCCCTGCTGACACGTTCCTGGCAGCCCGCTCCAGGCTGCTGATGCAGCCTTCCCGTCCCTAGCATTGATTAAGTGATGTCATCCCGATCACTGAGCATGCTCCAACTAACCCCCTCCCCCCCTTATCCCCCCCAAGTGACTAGTGTATTTAGGTCAAGTGATTGACAGGTGACAATTTTCTGAGGGTATCTTAGGAAGAATCCCGGCCTTTCTCAATCTCCAGAGGCCTACTTTTACCCGTCCAGGCTCTACCCAGAATCTTTGGCAAGGTTGTCTGCTGCACTCCTGCGAAAGGCCCCCGGACTAGCAGGTGCTGGCTTGTAACAGTAAATGGGCGCTCTCTGCAATAGAGGTCCCTTGGCAAGGCTTTGGCATCGAGGTTTTAACTTATACCTAGTCTAAGAGCACAGTTCCTCTTGAATACCCCTTCCCTCTTCATTTTCAAGCTACCTGGAAATCCTGACCTCCAAATGCTTTGTGGATGGACATTCATTTTGAGACTTGACCTATGAGGGCAGGAGAAGGGGTTTTCTCTCTGCTTAGGGTTAACTTGTAGAAAAAAAATGTATTTGCTACAGTTATTGACAGAAGGAAATTCTACAGTTAATGGCATATATGGGTTAGTGATATGGTTAGAGCTTTCAATGAGAGTGTGCCCAGTCTGATCCTCTATTTCACATAGAGTGGGAGTTGCTGGGGACATCTAGTTCCTGCCCCTTGCCTTGTAACATTTTTTTTTTTAAATATGCATGCTGTGGTGACCCTGTCACCTTCCCATCAGAGGCTTTAAAGTTCTCACCATCTTCTCTACTGCTGCTTCTTCCCCTCCCTTTTTCCCATTCCGCCTTACTTCCCCATTCCAAAGTGCATTGTCTTTGATCTGTGTGTGCAGAAATGGTTAATTTTAGTGTTCTTTTTTTAATACTATGACATCCAGTATGTATTTTTTCCCATATAAATATGCATGGTATTGACTAAATTAGACTCACACATAAATGAGAAATAGAAACAAAAATTGTTGATGTAAATACACATGTTGCTCTTCAATTGGAAAACAAGTATTGATCATCCTAGTAGAATACTTTAATAAAGTGGACACTTTTCTTTTTTTTTTAAAGGAAAACTTTTTGTTGAAATAAAGTCTTCATTTTTTGGGTGATTGTGGTGGGGATGGAACCCAGGCCTTTGTGCTTAGGCAGGTGTTCTACCATTAAGCTACATCCCAGTCCCAGAAATAAAGCATTCATATAGAAAAAGGTTATCACTAAGTGTACAGCTTGATGACTTTTTACAAAGTAAATGCTCCCTATAACCACTTTACAGACCAAGAAACAGACATTTCAGCACCCTAATGTCCATTATTCCTTCCAGTACTTAATTTCCCTTGACTTAGGGTAACCACTATTCTGACTTATGATTAGTTTTATTTTTTTTAATTTTATATACATAAAATTCTATAGTATATTCTTTTATGTTCATTGTGATGAGCATTATTCTCAACAAATTTATCCTTATTCTGTAGTATTCCATGAAACAAATATATCTATTTATTTATCCATTAATTATTTATAGATAATTGGATAGTTTTCACTTTGGGGCTAGTCTGGATAGTGCTGCTATAAATGTTACTGTATGCTTTTTTTTTTTTTTTTGGTGAGTTAGAGTATAGAACAAAAGATTGCCAGATGCTACAGTGTGTTGAGACTTGGATTGGCTCATGCTAGAAACTTTCCCGTTCCTAATTAATAACATGGATCTAAAGACAGTTCTGGAAGCTTGTATTCTGTTTTATACTCCAGGTAGATAGACACTAAGTTGGTTCAGTTAGAACCTGTCCCAGGAGGGTTCTCAGAAATCCAGGTATGTACCCATTTTCACTGAGTAGAGAGACCAGTTAAGAATGAAGTTTGGTGGAGTTAGCTATTAGTCTGAATTCAGAACCTCAGAAATTCCTTATTTTTGAAACTAAGTTCATTTTTTTTCCCTTAAGTTCACTTTTTTCTTTAAAGTCCTGTTCAATTGTTATGGAAGTGTATGCCCAGGGAGAGATTTTGTAGGTGGAGATTCTAGATTTCTCTTTTAAGAAAATGGCCTTTCTTGGAGGAATCACCTCCACCATTCCTATGCAAAAGCTTTTATTCCCTGACCTTTAATCTCACCCACTTTTAACCCCTGAAGTATTTATTTTGTATATCATCTTACAGTTTTTCCCCTTCGATTATTGATTATTATTTGTTTTGATTGCAGGTCTGGGACCATTGTAAGCCATGTGTAGAGATAAGGATTACTCATGTTGTGCTTCTTTGTACTTCTCAGAGCCTTGTTCGTAGAAGGCACTTAAATATTTATTGATCTGTTTGTTGATTCTGGAAATCTTCCCTTTGACATACTTACTTTATGGAACTTTTGATTGATTGTAGGCTGTGGGAAGTAGTTATAACAGTTTTAAAGAGAAATGCCATTCTTCTGAGTAGGTCTGATAAAATAACATTATACTAAAAGTGTTATAAGAAAATTGGGAAAAACTGCATTCAGCTTTATTAAAAATTAGGAGAGTTAATGGCACTGACAGTGAGCTACAAGTGGAGGGTGGGGTGGGCTAGCCATTAGGGAAGGAGCTCCTTTCTGTAGCATATCAACTCTTCAGAGAAAAGTATTAGGGTTATAGCATTCCTCAGAGTAGTCTTCTATTAGCTGCTAAAAGTCCTGGCGAGTCATCCATTACTTCAGGCTCTGCCTAGTGGTTTTGAAGTGACTGTGTTGATGGAAGATCTCTGACTTGATGAGTTCCCAGTAGTTCTTTGAAGTAGTCTTTCTCATTTCAGTTTTTTTCTTGTTGGGTTTTTCTCTTGTTTGCAGTCCTGAGACTGCAAGTCTTGCTAATGTCTAGTGCTTCCTCCTGAGACAATCTAAGCTCTGACCTGTTTGAGAGCTGCAACAAAATGTTAGACCCAACCCTGAACTGGACAGTGGTAAGGACAGTGACCTTGGTCACAGGAAGCTTAGATTAGTTCTCAGCAGAGGATGGACAGGGAAGGGAGGGCCTGGGACTGAGACCAAATCAGGCCTGATTAGTATTTTGGAGATTAAGGACTAAAAAAGTAAAGAAATATGGCTACATCCTAGAACTTTTCTTTTGGTTCACAGTAATTACAGGTCTTTCAAAGTAAGAACATTAAATTTTAAAATGTGTATAGTAGTATCATTTTTTTTTAGAGTACAGCTCTATGATTTTGATATATACCCAGGGTTTGGCAATTCTCCTGTAGTAGTGCTTTATTGTTGCTCTAACAAATGACCACACATTTAGGGGCTTAAAATAACAACATTTATTATCTCATAGCCTCTATAGGTCCGTAGGGCAGCTGGCTTCTCTTTTTTGCATCTCAGAAGGTCAAAATCCAAGTGTTGGCAGGGTTGTGTTCTTTTCTAGAGAGTCTAGGGAGAATCTAGGTATTGTTCATTCAGGTTGGTGGCAGAATTCACTTCCTTGTAGGTCTGATATCCCTTTTCCTGCTGAATATTAGCTAAAAGCTGTTCTTAGCATCCAGAAGCCACACTTGGGTCCTAGCCACCTGACCCCCTTCCTCAATCTTTAAAGCCAGCAACTGTGGATTGAGTCCTCATTCTCTGAACCTCTCCTGTCACTGACTCTTCTGCCTCTCTTCCATTTTTGAGATCCCATGTGTTTACATTGAGCCCCTTCCCCCCAAAATCTGAGATAGTCTTAAGGTCAGTGATGAGCAACCTTAATTGCTTTGTATTTCCATGTGCAAAGTCCCTTTTACCATGTACCATTAACATTTCTGGGGCCTAGAGGGTGTGGATGTCTTTGAGGGCTTACTAGCACCATCATAATTGAGATACAAAACAGTTCTATTGACCCCCGCCCCCACTCCCAAAAAGCCCTTAT